ATGAAGTTAATAAGTTTGGTTGATGAACAAGACATTAAATTACTTTGATTTAAGAAACACATTGAGAATTTTGGTAAGGATGCATTGGGGAATTATATTAGCTGGGCTTCTAGTCATCACATCATCATATTTCCTCAGATCACAGATAGTGGACATGGCCTCCAGATAGCTGCAAATATATTGTCACAGACAGCTGACTACGGATTGTCCCACAACTTGGAGGTTTTGCATGGAACAAACAGCTTCTCATAAAAAAGTGTGTTACAAAATGTTTCGCAGGGCCAGAAACTTGGAGCTTCATAACTTGGTCCAGTCCTCAAATATGATCTGCCAGTACCTGCCTCATGCTCCTCCTTGCTTGGCTTATTCTTCAACCCTGAAGATGAAGGCAATGCATTCCTCCAAAACACCTGTTGGCTTTCAGTGGACTACATGGTGTTACATCCCAGAAGACAGAATTCTTCATGAATCTACCTGTTCCTTAGTTTAGTGATGCTTTCTCAACTGCATAGGTTTTATAGCACCAAATTGGGAAGAAAGTGGCTGTAGCCTATTTAAGGCTGTAATTCTAGCACTTACCTGGAAGACATGAAGGAATGAAGAAACACTGCAGTCAGGATACTGAGCCTCTGGACTGAGAAACACCCAAGATCTTCTAAATGTGAAAGAGTGATGACCACTCATTCCAATTATGTGATGTATGGCTCAGTGGGAGCTGGGAGGAAGATAGTATTGTGACATGTATTAGTGACTGTAGACGAGGTTTGAATTGGTGAATGGATTTATTGACCACTTATACACACAACTTGGAACAGAGCCACCTCTAATCTTGAAATTCACATTCCACCACAGCACCCACTAAGCCTTTTCCAGCCTGCTGTGTCTTCACCAGCCATTCCCTGGCAATGGCTTCTAACAGTAGTCTTCAGCTTCACACAGGTTCTGTCTTCACAGCCTCCTGTGCAGAACTCAACTAACAACTCCAAGTCCAAGTCACATTGTGATTGATGGTCAGTCTGTAAGTCTTGGACCAGATATTTATTTCTCTTTGACAGCTATGGTCTGTTTTTGTGGGGCGCCCTCTCTGACGAGAGGACGGGTCTGTCTTTTCTATGTGCTGCTGGTCCTTGAAAGAGCAGTCTTGGGTCTGACTCCTTGGGACTTGCAACCATATTTTACTGTCTCAGATCTGAGAATTCCCTTTTCGTCGCCTCCTACAACTCGCAGGGTCATGGTGGAGGTATTCGTCCCCCGCCTCCACACGGGGGTAACTAACAACTCAACTATGCCCCATTCTTATAACATCTTGCCACAGACCACATAGAAAACACTGTTCTATTGTTGCATTCATATCCATTGCCGTGGGTACGTGTTCACCATGTTTACGGCCTAGAAACGGCCATGGCGCAGACCGCAGAAACTCTGTTCCTGTCTTGTTGCAGGAGTTGCCAACTAACAGCTACTGTTTACAGTCACTGCATATCAGCAGGCCTATGCACCACGGTTTGCTGTTTAACTGAAGTTTTGTATGTTAGAAGAGTTATGTACATTCAGACTGTTGAAAATTTCAGTCTACAGATGACAGAATGTTGTGGTATTGGTGGGACATGTAGCATTTTGTTGTGTTGCAGTTTGTATGTACACCACTGGTTCTGCATCAAGTGAGAGGAAAGCTGGAGAAGTTGCAGTATACCATCATGAAAGCTGACTGTGAATTAATTCCAAAGATACAAGTCACTTTGAGTGATGCTGATCTTGAAGCTGTCAGGAAACTATGTGATAAACTGGTGGATGACCCTGATGTTGTGAGATTATATGATAACATTGCATAGTATAGTGTGACTAGTTTAGGAAAGGGCATATTTACTGAACTTGGAGGCCTCCAATACACAAGTAAAGAAATCAAACACAGATGACCACTGCTTTATTTCTGATCCTGTATCCATTACTTGTAGTCCTCCAGATATTTACCATTTCCATGAAACTCGCAACTATTGAAGTGTAAGCTGTAAAAGGCGAAGTTTCCTGTGCTTAATTAAGCATCACACCGTGAAGATGCATGGAGTGGAGGTATAACTTCACACATCCTTAAGCCTCAGCACTCAATACATGTGAGTGGTTAACTTCCAACCATAAGCGGAAGGTGTGTTTAATTAAATAATACAAAATGTACCAAAATCTGAGTTATGGGTCTTGTATAATTACCTATTTCAGTGAACCTGTTTCAAATTTCTGTATTCGATTGTTAATGCACTTCACATCAGAAATTACATTCTACCGACCATCCACGTAAAATGTAAGTCTGTTACAATGAGAATTCATAAGTGTGAGAAAGTGACTGTGGTGAGGAAACCAGCTATACTGCAATTACTTGGAAGGCTGAGGTGATCGGAGATGATGAGTCTTTGGGAAACAGGTTGTATGTAAACTGGACTAACTGGCTTGGTATAGTGTCCCGTGGGAGACAGTGGTGGCTGAACTTTCAGCTTTCATAACGGAATTTTCTGATCATCTGGCATGAAAATCAACTACTATATCAGGTTCTCCTCAGTCCCTCCAGAAAGACTCCTTAAAATATGTCTCATTATTATCTTCTTTCATGGTCTTTAAATTATTATTCACAATCATACTGAAATCTGGAGGTGCCTAATGTGCATCAGGGCTGTCCAACTGGCAGAATGTGGGTTATATGCAGCCCAGTAGTTGGTTTTGTGTGGCTCATGAGGATATCCTTCCTTTCTTGACATATGTGTTAAAGCTTTCCTCCTCAAACAGGCAGCAGATATCGTCAGAAAACTTTACAGAAAGTGCTTACTAAGCATTCCATGTAAATTTTTAACTAATTTCACATAACCCAATAAATAACAAAAAGGATGGAATTAGTATCACTCCAAGATTGTATGCAATCTTCATTCACATGTTTGGCATCCTGTTGTGTTTGTCACTAATATGTAAATATGTATGTCTGCTGATCACAAGAACTTTATACTTCTGTGGAAGCCTACCACAACACATCTGGTCAACCAGTGGAGCGAAGCAAGCGCTAGCCACTCAGTGCAGACCATGCCAACGCCAACACCCATTCAGCTGGGCACTGCTAGCAACAGCGGATAAAGATGTGGACAACAAGTCGCCTAGACCCATGGGAAGTCCACCACCAGCACTTAAACCCTAGGGCCAGCTGACACTCACCTGGCTGCTGAACAAGGACTGCCGTCACTGGCACAAGCTAGCCCACTGTGGTCAGAGCCTTGCCAGCATTCATCAGGCACACCCTGCCTTAGAGTTATGGCCCTTTTCAAGACCCTCACAGTACCTCACCAGTTACTGTACCCTCTGTTTGCATGTTCTTTCAACAGCAATAAATATCTGTTACAGAAATTTATGTGATTGTCTCTCCAAGTACCGGAACCAACATCCCACATGCTCATTAAATAACTGATAGAATCAAATTGTCAATACATCAGTTTAGTTTATTAAAATATTTTGATGCTACATGTTTCAGTCCTTTTTGACCATTTATAAACAACAAAATATATCCATGTTCATTTCTAACCTGCATGACACAGTGTATCCATTGCTAATAGTCTTATCGTATAAAAAGTTTTTCACAAGATTACAGTGCTTGTTGAACGTTGGTAAAACGTGTCTAAGATTATTATTATTAGTTCTTGCTACAACATTGTCTTCTTATGCATAGGGGGTTTATGGGTAAAGTGTAATGGGGAGGGGGTAATATTTCACACTTTTGTCATTATGGGGGCATGAGTGTTATATGGGTTATATGAGTGTAGGATGTGTCAATGATTGTTTGTGTGTTTTAATGGATGAAGTGTGTTTCAAATTTTGGTCCTTCTATGTAGATATTGATGTTATGTTGGTATACGTCGTTGGTGCTCATGGCCACGTGTCATCCTGCATGGGTGGTTTGTTCTTTTTGGGGGTTCTGCAGTGGGCTCACTGGTTGTGTTCTTAGTTGGTAAGTTTCTAGTGCAGTGGAGTTTGTTTATGGTACTGTTTCTTGATTTTCTTGAGGTATGACTTATTTTTTCTGATGCAGTGATGTATCTGGTTATGTTATTGAACACTAGACAAAAATATAACTTCCATCTACCTTCATCAAACTTATCACTCATCAAAAAGGAGTCTACTTTTCTGGCATAAAAGTATATAGTAGTCTCCCACAAAGTATCAAAAACTTGAGTAATGATACTAAACATTTTAAATCAAGGCTAAAGAAATATCTGCATGTTCATTCCTTCAACTCTGTAGACAAATACCTCAATGTAAATAGAGAATAATGTAGAATTAAGCTATATTAGTTTAAGATAAAATTACTTGTACCAGTAGGTATTATTTTGACTTGTTCTATATCCAGAGGTATTAACCTACTTAGGATCTATGGAATGCAAATAAATTCAATTCAATTTAGTGAACTCACACCTACCCATGCCCACACAAGGACAAAAGTGTGAAATATATTCCCCCCACACAGACACTTGCCCATAAAAACCCCCTATTCACATAATAATAATAATTTTAGAAAAGTTTTACTAATGTTTGACAAGCATTTTAGTGTATGTAAACATCATAATCTTATGTTATAACCTTTTTATATGACAGGGCTATTAGCAATGGTGCCAAACTGCCAGGTGTTTGAACCCAATAGAATGTATTTGTCATAGTCACCGCTCTGAGAACCTCAAATCAAGCCTCGATTTTCAGCACTCATGACTTTACTCTGCAGTGTAACAGTAAGACAGAGGTTTAAGGTTGGAGGTCAGCCATATCCAGCGCACATTTTCCTAAATTCCATACCTCTAAATCAAAGAATGTGAATACTAGGCTGCCATGTTCGGAGTCCGCATTTAGCTGCAAACTTTCTTATCCTGTCACTGGCAGTAAACAGAATTCCATGATTGTATTGGATCTCCCACTCATGTGGGTTCCTTCACATTCATCATGACCAAAAAGGTAAAATGATCATTAAACAAGACATCAGAGACAGAGAGAGAGAGATCTTCTCAATTTAGTGTTAAAATTTACTGACCTCCACAGGAACATTTGCCACATGCACATTTGTACAAATACCAAATTTAAATTTAACAGCAGCCATAACCTGGTATCTTACGTAAATTTGATCCTCTAAATTTGATAAGTGATGGATCTACTAACTGTGCAAACACAGAGGGTTTCATGTTTCTTCTATTTAGATCTCTGTTTGAAAAGTCATTAATTTTAATATTAGCACCAACACTGTTTTGTACATCAGAATCACAAACATCTTGTTTCTGTTCGTAATTACTAGCCTGCTTTGAACCTTCAACATTCTGAATGTCATTCTGTGTAGAAATTTCAAGTTTCTGTTGACCTGTTTTATTATCCACCTGCTCATGAAGTATTTCATCTTTGTCACATTCTAATTCCACACCTGAACAAATTTTGTTCATAAGTTTCCTTGTCTTCCTCTTTTCCTTTTTCTCATCATCCTTACAGTTCTCAGAGACACTGATTTCGCCAATAACTGAGAGTTCTTCACATTTCTTCCTATTACAGCTCTCAGTAAGTGTTTCCTCTAAATTATGTTGTACATGCTTATATTCTTGGATGTCATGTATGTTTTCATCTTTACTATATCTCCTTATCTTCTTTTTCTTTACTTTATGTTTAATGTTTTCCTCTTCAATGGGTTTATGATCTTTTGTCTCCCCATGATCAACTTCATCAGTATTTCTGTCAATGGATTTATGATTTTTCAACTTCCCAGATTTCTTTTTGTGCACAGCCTTATCACCTGCTGGTGCTATGTCCTGACCACCCACAGAATCATTGTTCTCTTGCAGTGAATATTTTTCACATATTATTTCAGACATGTAACAAACTGTTGGAAAAGAACTATTAGAATTATCATTTACTCTTTTACCTTGTTCAGTTATTTCATCTTCCATCCTTTCTTTCACTTCCTGTTTTGATTTTCTTTTCTTCTTCTTATAATTTGAGCTAGTTACAGTGTTACCATTCAATACTGTCATCTCATTTACCTCTGCTTCAACTTCCTTTCCTTGTGCGTCTGGGCAATCAGTGTCTTTTTCTTTACGTTTCTTTTTCCTCTTTATTTTATTGTCCTCCAATTCACAACTGTGCATGTCTTTCTCATTATATGATTCCATAAAACTCATTCTTCCATCTTGTTTCACTGTTCCTTCTTCCACCAGCAAATGTTCTTCTATTTCCTTCTCCAATTTTCTTTTCTTTCTCTTGTAGTTTAAGTAACTTCCACTATCATTCATCTCATCTTCACCTGTTTCTTCTTGAACTTCCTTTCCATTTATGTTTGGGTTTACTTTATGTTTCCTTCTTGTTTCAATTTCCTGCGTGAAATTACACTCATCTTCCTTACTGTACTCCTTAATGTCTGTTTCTTCATGACTTTCTTCGTCTTTCTTCAGCAAATATTCTTCTTTTGCTCCTTCTAATTTTCTTTTCCTTTTCTTACCATTTACATCTGTGCTTTCACTGTTCATTGCTAACTCATTCTTTGTTTCTTCTCCATCAACTTCCCTTTTCTGAGTGTTTGAGCTTTCAGTGTTCTTATGTTTTTGTTTCTTATTTGTTTTTATTTTAGCTTTGCATTCATTATCTCCGAATTCTGACCCCAACTGTTCTTTCTCTATGTCTGTGTCATTCTTTGCAAGTGCATCATCTACATTTTTCTGTTTCTTTTTAATGAAGTAATCACTCATGTTACCCCCATTTACAGTTGTTACCCCATACAGATTGTCTATTTTCCCTATTAAAGTATCCATGTCATTTTTCTTCTCCTTAATGTTGCCGCAGTCTGAGATATCACTGGGTTTCTTGACACCAAGAATACAAGCCAAATCTTTATCAGTGTAATTGCTTATATCTTTCCCACGTGTGAATCTGTGGTAACTGGAACAGTGAAAGAGAGACGTGTATTACACTTATGCTCATACAACTTGAACAATCTAATAATCACCTATCTTACATAATGAATGCTCAGAAAACTCCAAACAGGCTCATAGGCCAACAAATCTTATATACAGAGATATACAAACTATTTCAGTTTCAAAATGTTTGCATAGAGAGGGCATGGAGGAAAAACTCCATTAATTCTACACTTGGCACTAGATTCAGGTGAGTGGTCACCTTCAAGCACTAGCTGTCTTTAACATGAAGGAAAGTATGGAGAACATACGAGGTGGCATGGGGCATGAATGGTATTAAAAATTAATCCCAAGACTACTGTTCAGAATTGAACACAAGCTGTAGATACACAGCCAGTCGGTGAGGGACTGAGCTGGTTGCAACAATACAAAAATACCTGTGACACACCCAATTAATATTTCCTTGTGGAAAATCATAAATTTAACATTGATATTGACTTGGGACTGCTGACACCAGATGTTAAATGACAGAAAACACTGACTGGGGATCTCACCGCTGCCTAAGCAGCAAGATGTATCACTGCCCAGTGTATCTGAAAGCCACATTTAGGACACAGTTCAAGCTACAAAATCCAGGTGCTTCTACATCCCTCTCTCTTATTCAAGCGTCAACTGTACTCACTGGACACGAGCACGGGACTGTTGAGATCGGAGCTCCAGTGATTCATTCCCCTTATCAGACACTGCAGCATCATGAGAGCCACTCAGTTCAGCCAGCAACTTCTCAAACTGTGATTGCTGTTCCAGCCACTCATCTCCATGTTCCTTGTAGCCAATACCTGGAACAGGTACCAACATACTGATGATTCAACAATTCAAGGTCAAAGGGCAGATATCTATGCCTGGGTACGGTGTCCCTCTTATTATTGTGGCGTATTTGCTCTATGCAGGAACTGCTGAGTCACAGAGGCCTCAGGGCATGCACACAACAGGAGAGCTGTGGATTGTATCGGCACGTTGCTAGGCGACAGCTCTGTGAACGCTTGGATAGTGCAACAGGAAGTGCAAGTGACATCACATATCCCCAATCATCCCGTTGCGCACGTGCCCCGAGGCCTCTGTGGCTCAACAGTTCCTGCATAGAACAAATATGCCACATTATGGTGTATCTGTAAACTGGATTTCAAATACCTTTCATATATATTTTAACAAACAAATGTGAAGGTTCTGTCAAAAGACAGCACTTACCTAGAAAAATAAACCCTTGTCAAAATGTTGCTGTGTTAAATCTTGCTTAACCTGCTCAAAATTTACTGTGACGTCAATGTAGAGGGGAGTTCCGTATGAATCTAGTCATGTGCCCTCTCTCTCTCTCTCTCTCACACACAAACATGCATGCACATTGTATCCTTCTATGTCTGTCCATCTGTGAAACTATTATAGTGGAGAAGTGTAAACACAAAAGTTTCGGAAATGAAAACTCAAAAAAATGTTAGTTTTGCTGTTACATGCACGTGTGCAAGCCCAAGAATCTACAGACATACTGGCTCTTAGATGTTACAAACGTGTACAGTCATGCATGACGATCATTTCTCTCTCCCACATGAGCAGTGGAACAATTTTCAAGTAGCTCTCAATCACTCTGCACTTCTACATACATGGACTCTGCCTCATATACTTACATTTCTTGTCATTCTTGTACGCTACTTTTATTTGTTCTGTGATGCCCTGCTCATTAGCTCCCAACCCACAGCCAGGCTTCCAACCCATCTTCTCCAGCATCTGCTGACCATACTTGCTTGTATCTGTAAGTAACCACATCATGTGATAAAATTATTAGTAATGTCTTCATGTTAGTCAAGTTGGAAGTTCCCAGGAAGCCCAACAGTATAACACACGCAGTCGCAGGAGCACGACACAACAAAAGCACAACACACAAGATAGTGAAGGAGTGCTCCAACAAAGGAGAATGGGCGTGACTGACGTAGTGAGGGGCGACGTAGCGATGTGGTATCCTGAACAATTTTAATATTTTTAACGTTTGACAATGTATATGATAGATACATATTTTAGTTATTTTAATGTGTGAACATGGCATGCAATGAACTGGTTTGACATGGACAAGTAAGCACCTGAAGATGGCATTGTTATGCCGAAACATGTAGTGCGAGGGAAAGAAGGAGATAAATGAATGTATGCACTGCAAGACGGATTAAATAAATCATGGATTGGAAGTTTGTGTTATGGCTGTTAACCCTAAATATAACCCAAATTCAGTGTGACTTATTAGCAGCAGCTGGATATGTTAGAATAGTTTAAAAATGTATTTTAGACCCAGTAAATAAACCTAAGCTTCAGTAACAAATTTACATTTTTATATGGTTATCATCATCATCACCACTTCATGGATTAGGCGAATCAGCTGTTCCTACCTCTAACATTGTTACTCGTACATCTCCTTCCACTTTCTAATTTTTTAATTTGAGATTTATCAGAAGAAAAAATTCTACTCTGGCCAGTGGTGAGAATGCACGTCTCTACTTCTGAGCTCACAGGTTGTTTGTTCCGGTCATCTTCACGACTGTCAAGTCACTTCAACCTGTTGTGGTTTACTCTTAGCTTCCCCTCAACTCTTACTATCTGGTAATTATTGACCAGACTTCCCTAGCACAGTCATCCAATTCATCAAGTACCAGGCCCTCCTATTATGACAAGGTCACCATATTTCCATACTGAAAATAGTGATACATATGGAGAAGAATGACATTGCTGAATATGAAGTACTGGGTAACATTGCATACATACAACATATTCCTAAAATAAACTCAACTGATTCTAACAGATTTGAAACTTTCACAATGACTGAATGTGATGAAGTTTCTTGAACTTTATTACGTTCCTTAGCAACAAGAGTTAATGCAATGTTAAGGTGAAAGAAGTTACTCTAGTAGATTCTTAAGTGCTTTTCTTCAGTTACTAGTTATCAGAATTAAAGATGGGATTATACATGTCGGAATGGTTTAAATAAAACTTAACATTATATAGAACACACGCACATTTTATATACATATATACATATGTATATAGAACTTTGTGTTTCTGCTAAAATTGAAAAAGTATGAGAATCTCACTAGTCATATTTATTTACTAAATAAAGAAGAGTCATCACACATGAGGGACAGCACAAGCAAATTCTGGAATTAGTGGGATAAGGTTTTAGGTTATGTTCAAAACGATCACTATGAAGTAGTGAAGGACGTGTTAGATGGACATGTCCCATTGAAGTAAGCATGCTACTCACCATGACTCCAAAAGTTCCCACAAGGATTTAAGGACCACTTTACGCGTTTCTTTCTCTCGGCGAGCATCGTGCCTTCCGTAGGTAAAACTTAAATTACACAAATTAGCAAAGTTAAACCATTCCCCTCGCATCACTATCTGAACGACCTAAACATATGTAACTCAATGCCGCTCAATGCTGCTGATGAGCAAAGTAAAAAAGAGACATGGGTGACTACTGATGCTTTCGCGACATCTAAACTCCGATTTAAAGAAACTTTACTTATTCATGAAAGATGTCGCTTTCTCTCGGCGAGCATCGTGCCTTCCGTAGGTAAAACTTAAATTACACAAATTAGCAAAGTTAAACCATTCCCCTCGCATCACTATCTGAACGACCTAAACATATGTAACTCAATGCCGCTCAATGCTGCTGATGAGCAAAGTAAAAAAGAGACATGGCTTACTACTGTTGCTTTCGCGACATCTAAACTCGTTTAAAGAAACATTCAAATAACTTTACTTATTCATGAAAGATGTCGCATGGATGATTATGACCCATCTGACCTAGTTACAACACCGCTAGAGACCGGTTGGGTATTGACTATAGGTCCTTTTTGTACATACGTTTATTTTTCAAAATAAAGAATCACAACACCGTGCCTATTTTGGTACAATTGGTGGGAAACGTGCACGGCATGTAACCCCATATAACCACTGCCAAGAGCTCAGTCAGTAACAGAGGGTGGCAACTGGAATAGGGGAAAGGGAAACACCGTAACTACCGGTAACTACTGCCTCTACGAATTACTGCGGAAACTTCACGCAGGTCTCGACCAATCAGAGAGCCTAAACAAACCAATTTGAATACCCATAATTACTTGCGGTTATCGTGGTGCACTATATGGAAATTGGTAAGTATGAATGTTGATTTG